AATCGCTGCCTTCACAGCTGCTGCTTATGTGTACCTCGCACTGTCGTCCCGTTCGACAGCACCCCTTTTCCGTGCGGTACCGTGCTCCCGCGCTGGTCTGTACACCACGGCCGCGACTCTGACGCTGAGCATTGTACCTTTTACTATTGCTGCATTGAGTAAGACTAATGATGCCCTCCTGAAGGTGGCGGGGTCAAATGGGGGAAGTTCTGTAGCGAGCGATGCGGAAATTGAACGGCTCTTGCACGACTGGATCGCTCTGAATCGAGCTCGGAGTTTACTTCCCTTGGTTGCGAGCTTGATAGCAATTGCCGCCGCGTTGCTGTAATCAGGGAATTGGGAGATTTTCCGTGCAGGGAGTGTGTTTGGCAACCATACTGACGACGGCGGTGGTGGTGGCGAGCATTCTTGGCATATCCCAAAATTAAGTTTTTCTATTCTCTTTCTTGTCCCGATCGGTTTTGAATGGTGTTCAAAATGTATTATGCAAGAATGGATATATGTTATCTACTAGTGACACCGTGCGCGTAATTTGTGCAGGTGCAATCTGGGCTTCTGGCGATTAGAACAGGACTTTTGTTTACATCTTATTTCTGAACAGGCTCTTAATATTCCAGCACCAGAACTCAGAAGACAGATTTACGTGAAACACACATAACCCCTGAAATGCCACTATCTATGGATACTTCGGACAAGACTAATGAAGACAGGCATATAGGCTGGATGTCAAAGCAGTACTTGATTTGTGGGGGGGCGGGGTAGTTTGGTCGGTCATGGTTAAGGTGGTAACATGTCACGTCTTGTAGCGGTTCCTTGTGGCTCTACTATGAAAGCGAAGCAGAACGATTGAAACAGGTAACCAAATATATTGTCTTGTTCTACTACATAGCATTTTGAAGTCATCCTATTACTATACCCGCTCAGGTGAGGGACCATGTACTGAATACTCTAGGCTAGGACATGGGGACCGCGGTAGAGACAAGCAAAAGCCGCAAAGACCGAGACCTCCCCGCTTCGAGTCGAGGAGGAATAGTCACGTTAGGCTAAACGTGTAGTGCGTCATTCCCTTCCGTTTAGCACAACAACAACGGACTTTCGTCCAGTTGTAGGGGGTCTTCAGGAAATTGTCCTTTTTAGCAGTTTACTCGGTATCTTTCCCCAGAGCTAGAGACAGCTAGTCTGGAGTAATATGTCAATAACATTTTGGGTGGGCCAACCCGAAACAGTGACGCGGACGGCATAAACCTTATCGACAGCGAATGCTAGAGGGATGACTAGAGAGAATGAGAAAGGGGAAAAGGAAACCGCTGGAAGAATGATAAGCTTACATTGAAATTCAAGCCCAGTGACTTCCAACGCGTAGTTTTCGTCGAGAAAAAATAATGCAGGGAGTTTTCAGGCATAGTATGGTTGTGTGCTTGATATCTCTACCATGAAGCGATGAACATTATACCCTTAGTACACTGGATTCAGAAGTCCATCCAGGTTGGCTGAATTACCATTCGCCTCGCCCGCTTGCCATTCATTCCCGGATGCGATGACAAGGAATATTCATGCCGAGCACCCGGTATACTTAGTTGTCATAGTCGCTCCCAGCTTGGGAGATACGTTAACTTCACCCTTCTACTCTAGACCTCCGACCATAATATCACTATATCTGCCTTCTCCGGCGGAGGTCTCATAAGGCTTCGCTGAGATTTGCTTTCAAGATTTGCTCGTCTCTCGCCGCTTGCTCGGCTACTAGCGCGCGCATATCAGTCCTCCAAACAGTGACATAGGGTTTTATGAAGTCGTGGAGGGTCTCGAGCGTCGGATTCTGCATCTTGCGTATCAGCCAGTCATCGTCGGCCGCAACGGGTTCTTGTTGAATGCGCAACTTGTTCGCGGTGCTGGTTGGCGAGACGAATGACTGGAACACCTGACGGCGTGCGTCCGAGTAGGTGCTGAGCAGAGAAACAGGGCCACCCTCATGGAGTATCATCTCAATTGCTGTCGCTAGTGCATCACAGTCAAGAATGCCAGTAGAGAGGCCTAGTGCACCGACGGGCTAGAATATGATGGTTAGCAAACAGTTTTTATGTAGAGATGAGTTGACTGTCTTTGGGGGTAGAAGCGGCATATGATTCGGGTTGAATTGGGACCTACGTTGTTGAGATGTGCTGCGTCGCCTACCAGTGCGCATCGCCCAATCGCCATCGTATTAGCCAATCGCTGGTGGAGACGATAAACTGTTTTGCTGACCACCTTATATTGCGGGGGCCTAGGTCCAACCATGTAATTCTCGAACAGCCTCGCGAGGTTTTCTTCCCGTAGTAATTCCTCTTCAGTTGAGTTGTCCGTGGGGTCTGTCGCCATTGAGAAGCGCCATAGAGTCGTTTCTCCTTCAACAGGTCGCTCTAGGGGTATTACCATGGCGAAGTGAACCGGGTGGACAATAAAGTGGAGCTGAGTAAGAGGCGGGACATCGACATTGCGCAGCAGCACGTCAGCCGCGATCATGCGTTCTGGCCAAGTGTGGCCCTGCAGCTTGATCCCAAGCAATTGGCGGGCTTTCGATTTTGCACCGTCCGCGCCGACAAAGAGAATACCTCGAAGTTCGCGCTCAATTCCGGTCTCCGGATTGCGGACTGATACCGCCACGCCGTGGCCGTCATCATGTACATTGCTGAGCTCCGAATGGAAATGGAATTTGACACTCCCAGGCTGCATGCCGTTGAGTACATGGATCTGCTCTTTCAGAAGCTCGCATAGCTTTGGTTGTGGTAGCAGAAGCATCCCCATTTCTGGCCGTTCCTGGCTCCCTTGGTCAAACGGGATGTTGCATAATAGACGGCCCCATGTCTTGTTCCCGTGCCCATCATCCTGCACGGCCGTCCGCCATCCCACTGCCCTGGCGAGATACCCGCGCTGTGCGGCCAGGTGCAGCAATCCAGCATCTTTTAGCGCAAGCAAGGTCGCGCCGTAGTAGCCCGCTGCTCGGGGTGCATCACTGATATCGGGTAGCCTCTCGACCAAGTCGACCTTGATACCAGATTTAGCGAGCTTGTAGGCTAGAAACAGACCAGTGGGCCCGGCACCAGCGATAATCACGCGGTCAGAGGGAGAAATAGATGGCAAGGAAGTAGAATTTTTGGTCTGCAGATTGTGGTGGGCATTAGCGGCTACAGTTTCTGTAGACGCTGGTCGCATTACAGTCTTGATTTCAGACACGCTGCTCATAGTAACGATGACATGTAATAATCATGCCAAGCGTTTGCTCTGCTAAGGCAAGGTAAAGAAAGACTGAGTCGGGGCACAAGTCAATGCTTAAGTATGATAACAGCTGGGTCATCCCCACAAAATACATTTCTCTTGACCTTCTCTTAGTCTGGGTTATGTGGTTTTTCTTCGGTAAGTAGAACATTTCCGAAGGACCGAGGCGGAAGCTTACGGTGATCTGGTCCATCACGCCAGGGAAACGTCTAATGCCATAGTGTGGGTCATTGAATGGGAACTTGAAAGTTTGATGTTCGGAGTCGGGGGCGGGGGCTGGAATCTTGGGTCTGGGGTAACCCGCTTCTGTGCGGGGTCCAGATCCGCGGATTTCTCCGGTATGAGAGAAATTGTGCCTTCCCAACGGCAGCAGATTTGGCGGTGCTGTGCTGAACCTTCCATCAAATCCGCGCCGAGCCATAAACCATCGAAAAACATAGCGAGGAGTTTCCCCAACCCGCGAGCCGGAGGTTCCGGCTTATGATGCCTGGGTAATGCATTATTTTCAATCTCGGGCTCGGTGCTATACGGGCCTTCAATGTAAGGACGAAGCGAACCCTATCTCCATGGTCACTCTTTACTAAAAAGGCTTGGGTAGGATATAAATTCGACGCATACCACTACGATAATCTCCTATCCTTTCCAAACCTGCCCTTTCTTGCGTGCAGAACAATCTTCCCATTCTACGGGCCTCGCAGCAAAGAAGCACCCAGTCAACGCGGATTGAAAGACTTCAACCACCAGTATGGGAGAACCAGCAAGCAAGATCCTGGATCGTGGCCCTGCTATAACACGGTCCATCAACCTGAACTTTCAAGGCGACTGGGGCCAGGCCAACTTTCACCGCATTATGAGCTGGCTGGTTCAGGAGCTTTGTGATCGCTGCGGTCCTCGTAGCCGCGTGGCCATCTTCAGCATGCGCGGTGGCGGATCCGAAGGCGTGTCGCTCGTCAACGATGGCGAGATGCATATCGCACTTGGCACGCCCGTCGCGCTGATGGGGGCCGCCCAGACTGGCGAGGCTATCTTCAACGGCCAAAAGTTCCCCCAGTTACGTGCGCTGGCGGTGCTACCACAGGACGACCGAATGATCCTCGGCATTGATCCCAAATATGGTTGCCGAACTTTTGCTGAAATTCGTGAGAAAAAACCGCCCATCAAGCTCGTCATAGGGCCAGATTCGCCAGATTCACCTACGGGCTGGGTGTCTCACCGCTTCCTCGAGGCCCACGGTATTACACCAGACCTCATTCGCTCCTGGGGCGGCGAGGTGGTTGACACCTGGTGTCGGCCAGAACAATGCCTCATTCCAGTCAAGGAGGCAAGCAGCGACATTACGGCTGCCGTTCACGAGGCCATTATGACCCCTTGGTGGACAAATATCATCGACGGCCCTCGCAAGTTTATCCCAGTTCCCGCAGAGCCCGAGGCCCTGGAGAAATTGCATAAGATGACACTGCTGGAGCCTGCCACTCTGCCAGCAGGTTACTGGGACTCGCTGAAGGAGGAGATCCGTGCACTCTCGTTCCGAGACTTCCTCCTTTTCTGTCGCGAAGACTTGCCCGATGATATCGCGTATCTGCTGACCTGGTGCCTGGTCGAGACCAAATCGATGATCGAGAGCCAGTATCACCATATTAACCCAAACAAGACCCCTCTAGGCTATCCATTTGATCCAGTCAAAATGGCAAAGACCTCCCTTCCACTACACCCTGCTGCGGAGAGATACTATCGCGAACACGGATATCTTTCATGAGTTGTCTGAGTCTCAAGCTGATAAAGCAGTGGACGCCTTTTTGACAAGTCAGATTGCGTTCTCAAATTTCATGACTCATTCCAACGCATAACTTTTGGTAATCCTTTGTTGGCTAGGTCTCCGTCAGTGATGTGTTAGTGAATGAGTTGCCCGATTGTGCCACAGCTGGGCATAATACGAGATTTGGATCGTCCTGAAATCTAGGGCCATTTAGCGTACTGGTTATCCTATCATGGTACTCAAAGCTGCTCTTGTTTCCCTCTGGAGCCCTCAATTTCTGTTGTTGGAGTTCCAACGAACGATTTCAGTATTGTATATAACTAGCAAGATCCGCCGCTTATCATCCGCATAGTGTCCCTCTCTGTCTTCTACCTCTTACTGTGAAGTTGCACTCTACAGTCTGGCACACTTGCGTCTATCTTTGACTAAGGATATTGAATCATCTTGGAGTTTTCTAATGTATGCCAACTTCTGGTGGAAGGTATGTAGAGGAGCCCAAACTTTTCTCTCCTGCGACGAGCCGTCCAGCGTGCCTGGGATTGAAAGCACGAGATCGGGAAAATACAACAGTAGCGGCACTGCCCCGTGTAACGAAGGATGAGGCACGGAATGTTGACTTATCAACATCCCAGGCCCCTATACGCTTACGCCATGGCTGAAGGTACTGCACATGGATATGCCAGGACCTCATTTCTATATTCTCTATCCTATCAGTCACGCCTGACAGGCAGCTAAGCTCTGGTCAGCATTGTGTCTGAATTCTTTCTCTAAGCATTTCCGACAACTATCCAGCTCACAACAGGCGAAGCTCTCATGCAGTTATGCAAGCACCATTCGCACATACCAAGTAGGAACGAAGGGGGCAATATCTGCCACACGGGGTGGTCCAAGATATGGTTATCTAATATGATGCAGTGTGCTTTGCTCATGGAACATGTCTCTTTCCAAGGGATAATGCGCCGCACTGACTGAAGCCGCACAGCGAACTGAAGGTCAGACGGATCAATCTTTATTGTTAATATGGATCCAGTTTCTATCTACAATGCACCATCTATTTCATATGCTCGTCAAACCACTCGAGGGCCAGCAGAAAAGCGGCCTCCTTGGCATACTTCTGTCTCTTATCGCTCAGATCGCACCGGACAGCGAAGCCATGGCTAACCCCGGAGTACAGGTTGATCTGATACGGAACTCCCGCCTTCAGCAGCAGCGCCTCCCAGTCATGTCGGAGGTTAGCCGGGAAGATGTCGTCCACCTCAGCCGCTGCAACAGCAAGCGGACCTTTGATCGCCTCTAGCTCCTCTGTCCTTACCATAGCAGGGTGCGCGACGTAACCGGCGTCGAAGATCCCGGATCCGAGGCCGCGAACTACATACTTGGCGCCGAAGCAGTATCCCACGGCGGCGACCTTCTGGAGCCCTCGTTAGTGTCATTGTCCCCGAAGGACGGGGAATATTTTACCTTGGGATTATACTTTTCCTTCAAAAATTTGAGCGACCCAGCCACGATAGGGTCAACCATTTCGGGGGTATGAGGTATCTTCTTCGCACTAAGTTTGCCCTGTAACCATTCGGGAAGACTGAAAGTCGCCATGTCGACGTTGAGCGGCACGGGGTCGCCGTGGAAGAGATCCGGAACGATAACAGTGTATCTGAGAAGTGTCAGCGGCGCGAGAAAACCGTGCCAAGTTCAACACACCCGTTAGCAGCGAATTGATCAGCGATTAGCTGAGCGTTGGTGAGCTTGTGTCCGATGATGTCCGTGAGGCTGAAGAGTTAGCAACCCCCTCTGCGCGGTCCTGATCAATATAGAACTCACAAAATCAATCCAATGCCGTTGGAACCTGAGTCGGGCTCAACAACATACATCTCAATTTCGCCAACGGTGTTGATTTGGCCCTGAGGCTGGCCTTCATGTTTCACACCTTGGAAACAGCAGCTGCCGATTGTGTTGGATGTCATATTAAGAATCGATCGGGATGAGGTTGAATACAGAACTATAGACCGTCTCAAGCTTGACACGGGGATTAGGGAGGTTGGGTGGATTTTGTGCGAATGGAATGATTTATCTCGGCCAAATATATCTGGCACCTTACGCTGATGGGTACGCTCGTCCCGGTGCTGCGGCTCTGAATCTGGTCCCGTACACTGGGTTTTCAGAGGATTGCCAAAGCGGAGTTAGCTATCCGCCGACTTCTCCCTGTCGCACGCAGTCGGCTCGGCAAGTCAGAATCCCGCGGCATCCGTCTCCATCTTATCCGCAAGGTATTTTGCGAGAGGGGGACTGGGTGAACGGGCTGCACAGTGTGAGAGTAAGTTTACAGTAACTAGTGCAGGGAAAAAGCCTGAAGGTCCGGAAGGACCCGGCAACGGTCGAAGAATCAGCCTTATTTACCACTGAGACATAGTATCTCGCTGTATAGCATTGGAAAACTCTTCCATATTGATTTTTATATGACAGATAGTCGTATTCATAGAGAGTATAAAGTACTCCTCTACTCAAGGGCTCCTTCGAACCTCTTAAATCTCCGGTATATCTCTTTTGGGCTGTCTATCAGGCATATAGCCCTCTTATCCGTCTCCTCTCCTTTTCACAGCAAAAATGTCGAACCATACGTACAAACAATCAACGATGTAGTTTGCATTTTATATGTCTTTTTCTGCTGGGGACCATGGCTATGGTGCTAACACCTGATATATCCTTGATTAGGTGTTGATAACCATAGACAAAGGAAGAGCGAATCTTAAAACACGCCTCCTAACTCCGCACATGTGCTCCCTTTACGGTGTCAAATAATACGAAAAGGCTACCGACGTCACCTGAGTGCTAGTATTTAACTCGGGTACAAATATATATACAAGCTCTTGACAAGTAGTTTCACAGTCCTGTAGCCAGCCGATTCGTCAGATAATATCATACGGCAGACCAGTCATATGAGAGCCAGTCCGTTACCAAAAAGTTCTGCGGGATACCCATGCCGAATAAAAAATCGTTGAGGTCAGGGAAGCCCATGCTTCCAGATTCAAAGCCAGTCTGTTCCCTAGCAGGATGCCTGCCCAGGTCGAGTGCATCGACCTGAGTCGGGAGATTTGATTCCGGGACATCCTTGCCATCGCAGCCTGGCCTCCTAACGGCGCTGTCGCTGTTAAGACTATCGTTAAGCTGACCAAGATGTCGGCCAAGGAGCAGCATGTAACGGTGGGCGATGCCA